GGAATGGGCTCGCCCCACCTGTCACCCCTCATGCAATGGACTCGCCCCACCTGTCGCCCCTTCTAATGGAATGGACTCGTCCCACCTGTCACCCCTTCTAATGCAATGGGCTCGTCCCACCTGTTTCCCCTTCTAATGCAATGGACTCGCCCCACCTGCCACCCCTCTTATGGAATGGAATCACCCCGTAACACCCCTTTATTTGGAATGGAGTTGCCCCCCCTGACATCCCTCGGATAGAATGGACTCCCCAACTCGACTATGAGACCGTGGCGTACTATTCAACCTTGCTTTAGTCAACTCGTCATGGATAAACTAATTGACTACTCCTGTGTTAGCTGACTTTGTAAGCAATTTATTAGAATGAATATTCTAAAATGAAGATAAAACAATCCGTTAATTCGTCACAAACTCCAATCAACTATCAGGATTTCTTTAAAACACATTTTTAATAATTTTGATTCACTTTATTACATATTTGAAGTTTATTTTAAATTAAAAAAACAGTTTTTCACTATGTTGGTTATTTCGGATAGGTACCGACTGCCCGAGGATTATAAAATCCTCATCGCTCGAGTCGCCGACTAACCCCAACCCCAATTTGTAATCAGCCACTATGTGTAGTTAAGACAGCCTATGACGCAAGTTTGATGCCCAACGTTATACCGACAGCGTATGGCGCGACTACTGCATGCCATATTGGTAAATATTACCGACACATCTTTTTATTTTATAACATTGTTAGAACGTTTTAATACTTGATGTGATGATAAAAGTTGCGCAAATTGTAGTGATGCAAAATATGGAATCCTTTGTTCATGTGTTTTGGCTGAAATCAACAAAAATGTATAATTTGTAAATTTCTTCAAAATACGTCAATAGAACTTGCTGGCAACGTTTCTCGGATCAATCATAATGACAGCGACATTGTAGAACGTTACAATAACGTTTTCTTAACGCTTGTTGATGGTCTAACAAATATATGACCCTGTTATCAAAACGTTCTGTGTAACCTGGGTATACGTTACCTTCATTTTTTTGCATGTGTTAAAAACATTTATTAACAAGAGACCGAATATCTATAAAAACAAACTTTTTAGAATAAACTCAAATGGCATTAAACAGATCTTTTTTATTAATGAAAACAAATTATGAGTTATTGTTTTAAAATTAAAGTAACACCAAAGATTTCAACCTTATAGGTACACTCCATGGGTTTGAAAATCCCCCAAATGCCATCCGCAGCAGTGGCGGATTTAGGGGATGTCAGGGGGCCGGGGGGGTTCTGACCCCCATTCAATTTCTGAAAAAAAAATTACACCAATGCCCCCTCTTGCAATTAGAATTTTGACTAGCTGAATCATTATTCTAAACCGTACCAAATGGCACCATTTGCCCTCTAAAATACCAAAAATTTTCCGAACCCCACGCCAATGGTGGGGGGAGGGTCAATTCTTATTTTACGAACAAAGGACTTTTTTAAGAACTATCCCTTCAACAAAACACTATTATTAAGATTTAAAAGAATCATTTCGACGTAAAACTGAGGACTTCGAAACCAGTCATATTATCTATCCTTTGTATGATGCACTAAGCGCCCATTCCAAATGTGGGTTCGTTTGGTAAAAAAAGTAAAGCAAAGGTTATCTTAAATTGAGTTTAACTTTGGAATCGATTTATCAAAAATAAAAAAGGAGAGACAAAACACTAACTTAGAACTGAGTAACTCAATGTACCGAGCCAGTGTTAAAGATGTATAACAAATTAACTGTACTGAAAATGTTAACTTGTAATCCATATGTCTGTGATGTGAAATTGCTGGTCATTTTACAAAATTTGTGTCACACTGTCCACGACATCAAATTTTATACCAAATTATATTATATGCGTAAAAGAGACTGATTTTGAAATGGGTTTCAAAAATACCAATGTGTTGGTCATTTCCAAAAGTACCATACTAGCATCCGAAGCACCCACGCCGAAACATTTTTCATTCCAGTGAACATTTAACTAGCTGCGTATATTGCAATCGATTGTCGAAGCTTAACAAGTAGACGGATAGGTTACCCTTTAAGACTTTTATCGCGCAGTTAACCGTTAACCCTCCTGTAATCAGAATTTATACTCCGATTTGAACCACTCGTTTGACCAACTGGTATAGGAATCGATTCCAGTTAGGCTATCACTAAGGTTCCATTACACTGTCGCTTCACCGGTGCATTTGCCAATTCGCACTGTCCATTTTAAGGCAAATCTGATTTATAAGAGTAGTGATCTTGAAGACTGGTTCTTGTAGAGGTAAGGGACCATTCCCAGACCCTATTGTACTAACTGTGGATCAATCTATCTCCAAGGGAATTCTCACCAAATTGCAATCACCTTAAGTGGTTAAGATGTCTGTCACGCCTACTGAAGCTGCTAGGGGGTAATTAATTATCGTTTAGCAGCTTCAGTAGGCGTGCCAGACATCTAAGCTGAAAGCAATTTAGCGAGAAACCCCTTGGAGATGGATCGATCCTGTGAGATCGATCTAGGTATGGGAACCCAATCTAACACAGCTAACCTTTTTTTGTGAACTACAGCATGTTTTTACAACTTTCTTGCCAATTAGTGGTGTCGAGGTACGGAGTAATTAATTATAAGCTCTGTAAAAGTAATTGATGCAGGGAT